AGTAATATATAAGGAGGATATAACAATTATAAATATTTATGCCCCAAACAATGGAGCACCTTTGTACATCAAACAAACCCTTCTCAATTTCAAGAGTCAAATAGGCCACAATACAATAATACTGGGTGACTTTAACACACCTCTCCCACTACTGGACAGATCTTCCAAACAAGAACTAAATAAGAAAACTATAGAACTAATAATGCAATCAATAATTTAGACTTAACAGACATATATAGAATATTTCATCCATCAACGAACAAATATACTTTCTTCTCAGTAGCACATGGCTCCTTCTCTAAAATAGACCATATCTTATGCCACAAAGCGACTCTTAGTAAATACAAAAAAACCCAAAAAACCATAAACAAACAACAACAACAGAGATAATACCCTGCATTCTATCAGACCACAATGGAAGAAAATTAGAAATCAATGATACAATAAAAAATAGAAGTTACTATAACAAAAGGGGACTAAATAATACACAATTGAATGATGAATGGATAATAGAAGAAATCAAGGATGAAATAAAAACAATTCTTAGAGGTAAATGAGAACACTGATGCAACATATCAAAATCTCTGGGACACTATGAAGGCAGTACTAAGAGGAATTTATTGCATTGAGTGCATTCATTAAAAGAATAAAAAGTCAACAGATAAGTTACCCAACCCTACATCTCAAAGCCCTAGAAAAAGAAGAACAAATCAACACCAAAAGCAGTAGAAGAGAGGAAATAATTAAAATCAGAGCTGAAATTAATGAAATAAAAACAAAAGGAACAAATGAAAAAATTGACAAAACAAAAAGTTGGTTCTTTGAAAAAAATAAATAAAATAGATAAACCCCTAACCATGCTAATGAAACGAATTAGAGAGAAAACTCAAATTACTAAAATAGAAGATGAAAAGGATATATCACATTGGACATATCTGAAATACAGAAGATAATTAGAAACTATTTTGAAAATTTATACTCTAATAAAATTGAAAATATCAAAGACATTGACAAATTTCTAGAGACATATGATCTACCCAAACTGAATGAGGAGGTCATACATGATTTAAACAGATCAATTCCAAGTAATGAAATAGAAAATGCCATCAAAAGCCTACCAGCTAAGAAAAGCCCAGGACCAGATGGATTCTCAGCCAAGTTCTACAAGACTTTCAAAGAGGAATTAACACCAATACTCCTCAAAGTATCCATGAAATAGAAAAGGAAGAAACCCTTCCAAACTTATTCTATAAGGCTAATATCACCCTGATACCAAAAGCAGACACACACAAAGGAAAGAAAACTTCAGACCAATATCCCTGATGAACATAGATGCAAAAATTCTCAATAAAATCCTGGAAAATTGCATTAAAAACATATTAAAAAGATAGTGCACCAAGATCAAGTGGGATTTATCCCAGGGATGCAGGGTTGGTTCAACATACGGAAATCAACAAATGTAATGCATCATATTAACAGTCTTAAAAACAAAAATCATATAACCATTTCAATAGATGCAAGAAAAAGCATTTAACAAAATATAGTACACTTTCATGTTCAAACACTAAGAAAACTAGGAATAGTAGGAACATACTTCAACATTGTAAAAGCTATCTATGCTAAACCCAAGGCCAGCATTATTCTAAATGGAGAAAAATTGAAAGCATTCTCACTAAAAACTGGAACAAGACAAGGATGTCCTCTTTCACCACTTCCATCTAATATTATCCTTGAAACTCTAGCCAGAGCAATTAGACAAAAGAAAGAAATTAAAGTGATACAAATAAGTAAAGGAGAACTCAAACTATCACTATTTGCTGATGACATGGTTCTATATCTAGAAGATCCACAAAATTCCACCAGAAAACTTCTAGAACTAATAAATGAATTCAACCAAGTAGCAGGATATAAAATCAACACCCATAAATAAATGCATTCCTATACATCAGTGATGAATCCACTGAAAGAGAAATTAGGAAAACTACTCCATTCACAATAGCCTCAAAAAATAAAATAAAATAAAATACCTGGGAACCAATCTAACAAAAGAGGTGAAAGACCTCTAAAATGAAAACTACAGAACAGTAATGAAAGAAATTGAAGAAAACCTCAGAAGTTGGAAAGGTCTCCCATGCTCCTGGATAGGCAGAATTAATATTGTCAAAATGCCCATACTACCAAAATCATTATACAGATTTAATGCAATTCCTATTAAAATCTCAGTGGCTTTCTTCATAGAAATCAAAAAAGCAAACATGAAACTTATTTGGAAAAATAAGAGACCCAGAATAGCTAAAGCAATCCTTAGTAAGAAAAGTGAAGCAGGAGGCATCACAACACTAGACCTTTCCATATGTAGCAAAATGAAATTAAACCTCTCTCACCCTGCACAAAAATCAACTCAAAGGGGATCAAAGACTTAGGCACTAGAACAGAGACCCTGTGCCTAACAGAAGAAAACAATAGGCCCAAATCTCCCCCATGTCGGCCTAGGATCTGACTTCCTTCACAAGACTCCTAAAGTGCAAGAAGTAAAATCAAGAATCAATAAACAGGATGGATTCAAATTTAAAAGCTTCTTCTCAGCAAAGGAAACAATTTACGTGAGGAGAGAGCCTACAGATTGGGAGAAACCTTTACCACATGCACCTCCAATAAAGCATTAATCTCTAGGACATGAAAAGAAATAAAAAAAAAACTTAACACCAAAAAACAATTAACCCAATCAATAAATGGGCTAAGGAACTGAACAGACACTTCACAGAAGAAGAAATACAATTGATCAACAAATATATGAAAAACTGTTCAACATTTCTAGCAATTAGAGAAATGCAAATCAAAACTGCTCTAAGATTTCATCTCACTACTGTCAGAATGGCAATCAAGAATACAGGCAACAATAAATGTTGGTGAGGATGTGGTGAAAAGGTACACTCATACATTGCTGGTGGGACTGCAAATTAGTGCAACCACTATGGAAAGAAGTATAGAGATTCCTCAGAAAACTGGGAATGGAACCACCATTTGACCCAGTTATCCCACTCCTTGGTTTATACCCAAAGGACTTAAAATCAGCATACCATAGAGATGCAGCCACATCAGTGTTTATAGCAGCTCAATTCACAATTGAATCAACCTACATGTCCCTCAATAGATGAATGGATAAAGAAAATGTGGATATATATATACTCAATGGGCTATTACTCAGATTTAAAGAAGAGTGAAATTATGGGATTTTCCAGTAAATGGTTGGAGTGAAGTAAGTGAAATAAGCTGATCCCACAAAACCAAAGGCCGAATGTTTTCTCTAATATGTGGATACTAATTCACTGTAAGGCAGTGTGGGTGGGGAACTAGGGAAGAATAGCATTATCTTAGACTAGGTAGAGGGAAGTGATGGGAGAGGAGGGGAGGGGATGTGAGGATAGGAAAGAGAGTAGAATGAAACAGACATTATTACTATATGTGTATATGTGACCACATGACCAATATGATTCTGCAACATGTACACTCAGAAAAATGAGAAATTATATCCCATCTATCTATGATATACCAAAGTGCATAAATGCATGCTACTGTCATGTATAACTAGTTAAAACAAACAAACAAAATTTTAAAAAGTAACAAATCAAATGAGTGAATAAATAATTGAATGAGGCTAAGTAAATTGGGAAGCTCTTACTTGCAGCACAGTGTCAATAGATGTATGAGAAATGGCGGAGAAAACACCACTTAGCAATCATCGTAATGGAAGGTAATTTGTGACCGAATATTAATAGATGCTAAGTAAAGATTTAAAAAGGTAGAAGATACTGGAATAAATTTGGTGTATTTTCCCCATAGAATACTTACCAATTACAAGGGAAAATGACTACATTATGGTGGAGCAACCTGGCAGACACCAGCATGACCCATGGTAGATGTCATCTGCCCCCTGCTGAGAAGCACTGAGACCAGGCTTGGTCTCTGTAGTATCCCTGCTAGCAACTAGCAACGTAGGGTCCAAGTCCGGACATGATGAAGTTTTGCACTGACCTAGGTTGAGGAAGAACCTACAAGATGGGTTTTCATGGTACTCTAATACCATCAAGGTTGTGAAAGACGAGAGAGTCAGGAAACACTCCAGGTGAAGGAGATGAAAGAGAAGGCTCTGCAACGTGTGATCCAGGAGGGAAATTTGACCAGAAACGAGGGGACGTCCTAGGGGTGGCTGTGGACCCTTGGGGTCTGAGGACTGGATGGTAGTGTTGAGAGTGTGATTTCCTGACAGGGACAGTTGTCTGGTGGTTGTACAGGGAGCAGTCCTTGTTTGGGAGGAACTTACAGTGAGGAGAGAGGGCGTCAGAGGGACAGCTTGATCCCACATAAGGAATGATACCACAGGAATCTAGGGAGAGGAGGAGGGCACCATGAGCCCTTCACAACCGGGTTACTGGAGTTCTTTGTATTCTCCCTGCAACTTCTGTAAATCTGAAATTATTTCAAAATAAATGATTTTCTAAGAGGTGGTATTAGTACTTTTATACTACATGACCAAATTGCATCATAACTAAGTGTGGTGAGGAATTAGAAATCTGAATTATTGAGAAAAATGTATCCCCTAAGGCTGATGGCTCACTAGGGCAATACAGCCACTTCTCAGACACGGATCCCCTTCCCTTCCTCTGCCAGGATCAGGTTGAGTCTGCTCCACAGCAGCTCTTTTTTTTTTTTTTTCCAAATGTACCAAACACATTCACATTTCTTTTCTTTCTTTTTTTTCTTTTTAAGCAAATGGCAAAGACCCAGTTTACCAGATTTTTAAACCTAAGCTTAACATTCATATTTAAACAATTGTCAAAACTTTACTAAGTTGCCAGCATTCATGCACAACTAGAAAACATCCTTAAATTTATATTAAACCAGAAATGTATTACCATTAATGCATTAATATCTTTCATTACTAAATACTGAAAAAACAAAACAAAACAGATTACTTCTACAGGAGCCTCATCCCGGCAATGTTAGCTCCCAGCAGGCTGACACGACTTGGCTCACACGTCCAACACAATGGGAAGCAGATCCATGCTGGTGTTAGAACACAATCTTGACCTAGTACTACTCAAAGTCAAGGCTCACCTTGGATTAAGTTTAATAAAAAAGCAAAGTGCACACAGAGATTACAACAATTTTAAAGACAAAAAAAAAATGGTCCTATTGTGTGGTCCCAATAATAAACTCAAAAGTCTATGACAAATAGGATCTCCGATGAGCTGTTTGTAAATACTTTAGATTAGGTACAATTATACTGAAAGTTGAGTTCATCTGAAATCTGAAAAAAAAAGTTCCTGTTAATCCTCAAATGGTTAACATTTCTGTTAAATGCATGCGTTGGATTGTTTGTTATCCAAGCGTAGCAGCTGCTTCTTACCATTTATCATTAAGGACTTTAACTGGCCGTCTACTCTTTCTTGACCATTCTCGATAATTCTTTTTGTAGTGATTTTTCTCCCATTTACTATTTTGGTAGAAATTGATATAGATTTGAAGTTACGCATCCTGCTGCCACCAAATGATGTAGAAGAGAATGAAGTAAGGCCACCGTGACCTAGTGACCCAAATGAAGTAAATCCTGTATCAAATGCAGGAAATCCACCTCCAAATGATGGAAATCCACTGAAAGTGGAGAAAAAAGAGCCTGTACCTCGGTTTCTGCTTCCTCGGGGACCTCTTTGGTTTCCAAAAAAGTCTTCAAATGGGTCTTCAAAGAAGTCAAAGGAAAATGGGTCCCTTCCACCAAAAAATTCCCTGAAGACATCATCTGTGTTCCGGAATGTGAGGCCAAATTCAAACGGACTGTTAAAATGACTTCCACCTCCACCTCCACCATTTAAGCCTTCTTTGCCATACTTGTCATAGATGTCCCGTAACTCCAGTGAACAAGTGATTGGGACACATGAGTAGGGAGGGGCCCTCTGCACTCTTGAATAATGTTGACTATTAACCCTCATAGCAAAAATTAAAAAATAACCCAAATGCCCATCACTAATGGATGGATAAACAAAAGGCATTATTGCTGGGTTTCTGTTCTCGCAACTAAAAGGCTCAGGGGTCACTCCAGTTGAATTGGGCTAACTGGGTTGCGCAAAATAACCACACAAGACACAAATACCTTTTTCTTTGGGGTCACTGTGATGGCTCCTCTGACCTTAAGGGTCTGCAGGAAGAGAGAGAGAGAGCACACGCATGCACACACACACAAACACAGACACACACACACACAGAGTGTGTATGCTGACCCCTTTTATTGAGGAGAAGCTATTCAAATGAGGCAAGGGGTCAGGTTTCAGGGGGCTGATTCTTATCTTTTCTCATCTTCATGATGTCCATTGTCAGCAGGTTGACTGACATACTAGGCAAGCACTCCTACCTGAGCTGCTTACATCCCTTGCTCCAATTCATGCTTTAAATTACACACCATTCTGAATAGCTGCCTGGCTTGCAAATTATCACTTAGCCCAGTGTTTGCACTCCGTACATGCTACCTTCCCATTAGTCACAGAGTCGCCATCTCAATTATCAGATCCACTGTCATGGTTTCAGTGCTCACCTTCAAGTAAAACTTATTTTACTTTATTAAGGCCTCAAAACACAAGGCGTAGGGATTCTGCCAATTGGGACATGCAAGGAGAAGCCATAAAATGATTTCTCAAAGTGAAAAGATAAAACTTCTTGACTTAATAAGAGAAAAAAAAAATCATATGCTGAGGTTGCAAATATCTATGGTAAGAATGAATCTTCTCCACTGAAATTGTGAAGAAAAAAGAAATTGATGCTTGTTTTGCTGTCACATCTCAAACTGCAAAAGATATGGCCACATGCTTAGCGAAGATGGAAGAGACACAAAGTTGGTATGTGTTCATATACGGAGGAAAAAAAAAGGAGGTCTAGCCATGGTTTCAGGTATCCACTGGGGGGCCTGGAATGTATCCCCCTTGAGGAAGGGGGACACTGCTAAATTAGCTATTATGTTTATCTCCAGTTCATTTGAATTATTTTTTGCATACGGTATGAGAGTACAACTTCATTTTTTGCCTGTGGATATCCAATTGTCCCACTACCATGTATTGAAAAGACTATTCTTTCTTTATTGAGTTGTCTTGGCACCCTTGCTCAAAATCAATTGGTCATGAATCAATTTATAGAGTTTGAATTCTATTCCACGATCTCTATGTCCTTTTTTATGCCAGTACCACAGCTACTAGTTTTGTAGTAGGTTTGATTTGGATAAGTGTAAGTCCTTCTAATTTTGTCCATATTCAAGACTGGGTTTTTTTTTTTAAAGAATTTATTATTAAGTTGTAGTTGGACACAATATCTTTATTTTTATGTGGTTGGGGATCCAACCCAGGGCCTCGCCTGTGCTAGGCGAGCACTCTACCACTGAGCCACAACCCAAGCCCTCAAGATTATTTTGATGGTTTTGGGTTCTATGCATTTCCATATGAATTTTAAGATCAGTTTCATATCTGTCCAATGTTGAGAGCCACAGCCGAAGGGGCCCCAGCAAACTTCCAGCTGCCAGCAAACTTACTGTTTCCCTGCCCTTTCAGACCACGGAGCTGCTCATTGGGGGACTTTTTTGGCTCCGCCCACGTGACCCAGCCAATCGGCCTCAAGAGCAGGAGGATTGTGGGAGGTGGAGAGAAGCTTGGGTGGGAGAGAGAGGCTTGGGGAAAGCCGGTGGTGGCAGTTGAGGCTCTGAGGGTTTTTCCTGAGAGGCTATTTTGTTTGTCGTGTGTGGTTCTAAAAATAAAGTTAGTTTCTTTTGACAAGTGGCTCCTGATTGTGCCCAGCCAGACTGCGGCAGTCCATGGTAATAACCTAGAAGGCAAAGGCCACCTGAGCCATCTTTGTGGTCTGCTGTGTTTTGTAGCTTGTCTTGCTCGTTCGTATACATCAAAAGCTTGTTAGCAGATTTCAAGGCCTGGGTTCAATTCCCAGTACAGTAATGACAAGGACAACAACAACAACAACAACTTATTGAATTGAATGAAAATGTTGTACGGATTTTGATCTAGAGCTTGGAATGAATTTCCACTGGGAGAACTCTAAGTATTTGTTTTGGTCATTGTACATTGAGCTGCAAGTAACAATTAGTGGTGTCTTAAACCATAGGATGTTTATAGTTTACTGTATACCAAGGAGTATGGAGGGTAGGCAGCACATCTTGCATTTCAGCCAAGTCAGTCCTTCCTCTCCACTATTCTCAGAATTCTGGTCTTTCCTCGGGCTTGTCACCTCCTGAGTAGCAGATAGCTGCCAACCTGCCAGGCAGCATGTTCTTGGAATAGAATTCAAACTCTATAAATTGATCCATGACCAGTTGATTTTGAGCAAGGGTGCCAAGACAACTCAATAAAGAAAGAATAGTCTTTTCAATACATGGTGGTGGGACAATTGCATCTCAGAGGAGTGAAGGCTTGCATTTCTCATATCTCACCAACAAGGACCCAATCACATGTCCATCCCTAGACCAGTCACTGGGAAAGGAAAATGAGAAGACCACCACCTACTGGGAGCAACCATACAGTGTTCACTGAAGAGACAGGGGTAGGGCAACATATCAACATATCAGTTGGGTAGCAAGAAGTCGTGCTACCTCAAGTTTAACACTTGTGATGCACAAAATGCATTCTTGCAGGTTTGTGTAGTAACCCAGCTTGTACTATTGTTCCTTCAAAAAACTGTGTTCTTAAGCACCAAAGGGAACTTGAAGGAAACATTTGCAATACAATCCAAATCCATGGAATGATGTTTACATTTATCTTCGAAACTGTACTGATCGTAATTCCATCTTCTTGAAACTTTAAGACGTATTTTTGGAATCTTCTAGTCTGAGAGTCATTTGTGAATATACTGTCATGTTGCAGATGTTAGGAGGGATGGTAAACAGTTTACTATGAGAAAGTCCAGCGGCGCTGTTAATTTGGTCGTTCTTGTGTCCTCAGAGTGGTACTGCAGGCTGCACATAAACCCCACTTCACCGCCCCGCCCCGCCTCCCATGGCTCTGGTCACGATGATGCGCCAGCAGCAGGCCACTTCTCGCGTCCCCGCGGTCGTCCTGTCCTGGTCCACCGCGGGGATTTGCTCAACCAACATGAGCTGCGCGCCCACGCTGTTGCCAGGCTGTAGCTGCGTCCTGGAGAGCTCAAGGGACCCTGGGAAGATGGCAGGTCTAGCGGGATGGGCATAGGGGACCACCAAGCCAAGATTCTGACGACCTTGCAGGGTGGAGTAAGTGCGATCGCGTTACACCAATGTCAAGGGAACAGAAGGCCTCGGCCAGGGCCCCCAGGTGCAGTCGGCGCCGCCCAGGCTCCCCGGAGGTCCCGGCAGGGGCTGACCCGGCGCCCGCGGCCTCCCGGCCTGGAGACCCGGCCTCCCGCCACAGGCGTCGCTGTGCGCTCGCGCGCGGGCCCGGGAGCCGCGTTCCGTCGGGAGCTGGCGCTCGCGCCGAGCAGGGGTTTCAGTTTCTGGCGCGAACTTCCGCCGTTCGGAAGTTGCACGGAGAATTGGCGCGATGTCTGGAGACAGCAGCGGCCGCCGGTCCGAGGGCCGGGGTCGGGGCCGCGACCCGCACCGGGACCGCACCCGTTCTCGCTCCCGCTCGCGGTCCCCGTTGTCCCGCCGCGGCGCCGCGCCGGAGCGCAGGGAGGCCCCGGAACGCCCGAGCTTGGAGGAGGCAGAGCCGTCGGATTCCGGGGACGAGATGGTGGACCCGGCTAGCTTGGAGGCGGAGACCGACCACGGCCTGTGCCGCCAGATCCGCCATCAGTACCGGGCGCTCATCAACTCCGTCCAACGTAAGGCGGCGCCTCGGGGCGGCGCGGGCCGGGGCCGCGGTCCAGCCTGCGCCGGGCGGGCGGGGAGGGGCCGCGGGCAGGTGCCGGCGCAGGCCTGGAGGCGCAGCCTCGCGCGGCCGCGCCTTCCTGTTTACAAAGTGCTCCCACGCCCGCGCTGTCGCTGCAGCCGCCCGAGCTAGCTGGGGCCAGCGGGTCCCCCATGGGCAGGCTGGAAAAGCCGGAGGCCGGACGCGGTCGTCCACTCGCCCGAGCTCAGCCGGCCAGTGGGGAGAGGACGCGGAAGCCTCTGCTCTGCGCTGCGCCCAGCCGGTCTCGGCGAGGGCTGCCCGGCCCGCAGCGACGCCCCCCGAGGACTGTCAGAAATGCACGTTGTCCCACCCGACCCCGATCCACCGAATTCGAGACTCTGGGTGGGCCCGCGCGTCTGCTGCGAGGCCGGCCAGGTGACCCTGTTGCTAACAAAGTTTGAGAACCGCTCTGTAACGGAGCCCTCCTCGGAGGCTGCGCAGGAGCCCAGCCCTCGGGGTTAAGGTTAGAGGGAGCCAGGGTTTCCTTTTCAAGTTCATGCTGCTTAAAGCGTCGGGTCGCCTTTCTCCTTCCCTGCCATGTTGGTTAAAAAGGTTAAGGTTTTTGAAGTAATTATCCAGGGAGCAGGGGCCGGGTTTGGCCTTGCCACCTCAGGTGACCTACATAACTTTGTCTACTACTAACTTTGTCAAGAGCACATTGACCAAAGTTTGTGCTTTCTTAAATAGAAAACCGGGAGGATATTCTGAACGCCAGCGACAAATTAACAGAGGTCCTTGAAGAGGCCAACACTCTGTTTAATGGAGGTAATTCATTGTTTTATATATGTACTTATAAGTTTTATGATCATTTAATTGGTTTTATATAAGAGCCACATTATTCACATTATGCAGTTCCCACATTTGTAATGGTGCATTGCAAGGTTTGGAACCTTTTTCCATATAGCAACAACACTCTTTCCATTGTGCACTTGCTAAGCATATGCACTAAGGGATTCAGGTGACATTCTGGGTCTGGGTCCCACAGTCTGTTTTAACAAGCTCCCCCCCATGGTTCTGTTGCCTGTTCCCAATTTGGGAGCTTTACATGTGAATCACATTTGTTGAATGGGTGAATT